GGGGCAGGGGCGGGGCTAGGGCGGGGCTCCGTCCCGTCCTCTTTTTTGCTTGCTGAAATATGGTAACCCTAGTTGCGCTCTGATGCAAGGGTATTTTGCTGGTTGTTGGGGGGGGGGGTCCCCGTGAGATGGAAGCCCTGTGCAAGTGCATAGAGGACACATTGGTTAATCCAGGTCGGTGTGGGCATAAGATTTATAGTGACCTTAAATGGTCACTTCCTTGCTTTTAAGTCCTTGGGTTTTATAAATGACAAGGCAAGGCAAGGAGACTGTGGTCATTTAACAAATTTAACCTGGTTTTTAAATAAAAAAATATTATTTATGGAAAAACAGTATTTTGTGGTTTCTTTATAACTTTCATTTTAGCTATTCTTTACAGTGCAAATAAATGGGATGGACATAGCACCAGAGTATTAAATTAAAGGAGTGACTGGCACTAGACTCAGGAATCCAATGGAGCTTTTCCATACTGAGTCCATATGATCTAATTTAGGGCTCAGTCCTACAAGGGGTGCTCAAATAGGGCTTTACAATGGAAGCTGGATGCAATCTTACCTATGAAAAAGCTACTTCCTTTCCTAATACCTCCTGACTTACCTCACAGGGTACAGAACCCGGATATGTGCTGTGTTGAGCTAATGGAAAAGTGGAAGAAATCTCTGTACATACTCAGTCAAATCTGAACGTGAATTTTAATTGGACTGTTCGCAGCTCTTCCATGTTTGTTTTCTACAAACACTCAGAGCTTAAGTTTTACTAGCATGTATACCTAGAAAAGCTTATTCTGAGCTCAAATATTTGCCAAAAGCAAATTTCAAATGGCCTCTCTCCTTAACTGTCAAATTTGCAAGCTATGCTGTATTGGCTAGTTACGCAATCACTTGATCCAGAGACAGAAAGACACAGTAATGAGCCAAGGCCTCTGTGCAAGTGGACCTATGCAGAGCCCCACTCACGGAGGTGCAGGGATTTGCCTGCATAATTCTAATGCAAGATCAGGGCCTAATAAAGTAAGAACTGCAAAGATTCCTAATGAGCTGCTTGCAAGCACTCTGTGCATTATTCACTGAGGAAATTTGTGAATGGTACTCAATACACAAGAGAAATTTGTGAACTAGAATAAGATGCAAAATTCAATGAATAATTGATTAAAGATTATTATTTGCATTATAGTTACCCCTGGAGACCTCAGCCAAGATCAGAGCCCCTCTCCCTGCCCTGAAGATCTTATCATCTACATAGTTAAGACAAAGGAAGGTTTGTTATTGCCATTTTTCAGATGGACTGCTGGGGCACAGAAAGAGTAAGTGACTTGCCTGAGCTCTCACAGGGAAGCTGTGGAAGAACAAAGATCTCCCAAGTCCCAATCCAGAGCCTTAACCACAAGACCATCCCTCCTCTTAATCACTGCAATTATTTGCTGAGTTCTAGTTCTGCTATTACTGTCAGTTTAACTGGGTGGATTTCCCCCGCCTGTAAATAGCTTGCATCATGCAGCGGCTTTTCTCCTTTCTCTCTGCAATCTGCTCATTTATTAAGGCTCTTCCCTGACTGCCGGATTTTGTTCCAGATGTCAGCAAGGAAAAAGCCTGTGGAATCCCTTTGCAGCACACCGGGGGACTCCGGTAGAAACCTAATACTCCACTGGTGGGAGACCTAGATGCCCAGGCTAAGGAGCAGAATGTCAAACGTGGGATTCCTTGCAAGGGCTTTTCAAACAAATCTTTCCTTCAGTAGGGCTGAGGAGTGAAGACCAACCCTTGCAGCTGGTGGATGGGAAGACAGAAGCCCTCTTTAATTACTGGAGGTGATGTTTGCCAAGTAAACCCCATGCAATTACTATGTAAGTAAAAAGTACTTGCATGACATTTGTATCCTTTAGCTTAAAGCCTTATGGAAGTCAACAAATGACTGTGCACAGACCCCAGATTATACTGTCCAGCAGCTCAGCGGGAGTTTGGCTGCCAACAGATCAATTCAGGGGCTTGATGTTCCCTCCATCTCAGAAACCCCCAGACAGGGAAATACTCCACTAGGAAACCCACAGTGTTCCACTGACCCCTCCACAGCCTTCAGCTCAGGATAGGAGTGCCTTACAGCAAGCTGGGCAGGACAGGCAACAAGCCCAAGAGGAACTGCCCAGTTCCGGGAATGTTTCATGCTGGTTTCAGACAGCAGAGTTTAATGGCTGTCTCCACAAGGGGTAACAGGCAGGGACAGTGAATCAGTCACTCCTAGCAGAAGATGCTTCCATGCCAGTGTCCGCTGAGATGTGCATACAGTCAAAGGGAGCAGGACACAGGTGGCTCTCAGCTGCAAATGCTGGGTAGCCTCCACTGCACTGGGCCTGGAAAGCATTGCACTCGGTTCCTAGGGGGCTGCATGCATCTAGACTAGGGGTGGGCAAACTTTTTGGCTCGAGGGAAATTGTTGGTGGGGAAATTGCATGCAGGGCCATGAATGTAGGGCTGGGGCAGAGGGTGCGGTGTGCAGGAAGGGGCTCAGGGCAAGGAGCTGGGGTGCAGGAGGGGTGCAGGGTCTACAAGGAGGCTCAGGGCAGGGGATTGGTGTGCAGGGAGGTGCGGGGTGTGGCAGGGGGCTCAGGGCAAGGAGTTGGGGTGCAGGAGGGGTTTGGGGTGCAGGGTGGCTCAGGGCAGGGGGTTGGGGTGTGGCAGGGGGCTCAGGAAGTTGGGGTTTGGGGTGCAGGAGAGGTTCGGCGTGGCAGGGGGCTCAGGGCACAGAGTTGGGGTGTGGGAGGGGGCTCAGGGCAGGGGTTGGGGTGTGGCAGGGGGCTCAGGGAGTTAGGGTTCAGAAGGGGTTCGGGGAGGGGTGCAGGCTCCGGCCCGGCGCTGCTTACCTGGAGCGGCTCCGGGGTGGCAGCAGTGCGCAGTGGGGCTAAGACAGGCTCCCTGCCTGCCTTGGCCCCATGCCGCACCACTCCCAGAAGCGGCCAGCACCATGTCCCTGCGGCCCCTGGAGGAGGGGGGGGGCAGAGGGCTCCACGTGCTGCCCTTGCTTGCGGGTACCTCCCCCAAAGCTCCCATTGGCCACAGTTTCCCGTTCCTGGCCAATGGGAGCTGTGGGGGGCGGTGCCAGGGACCGCAGGGATGTGGTACCGGCTGCTTCCCGGAGCAGTGCGGGGCCTGTAGCATCTCAGGGGTGGCAATCCCGCAGGCCGGGTCCAAAGCCCTGACGGGGCAGATCTGGCCCGTGGGCCGCAGTTTATCCACCCCTGATCTAGACTCACTTTTTCTCCTCTCCACCCACATGCAGGGAGAGAAGCATTAGGATTTCAGGACTTGGTCCTGCTAGTACTGACACACGTGCCAGTCCATTCCGTAAGGCTCGGCAAGACTGCCTAGGGAGAGGGGCTGCTGCTTGGCTGCATGGCAACAGACTTTAGGACGGGGCCCTGCCATGTATGCAGTCATGCCATATGAGCCATAGTCAAGGCAATGATTGGGAGCCACAGGCCAAGTTTGTAACTGTTTGAAAATCTGAGTGAAAGCTACTATATTATGTGGTCCATATAACACAATGACAGACCTTATTTTGACCTAGATGATCTCAGTGTATTTAGTGACTTCAGACATCCTGAAGCCTTGCCTCTGGGGTAGCTTAGCACCACCAGAAAAGCCTCACACCAGGGCTAGTGTTGGCAATCCCACGACATGAAAACCAAACACATACGTATGTTATGCTTATTGTGCCGTTGGGAATGCTGTACCTGAGATGTCACAGTAGATGGTTCTGTGATAGACTTTGGCTTCTCGAGGCTTAAAGATCACATTAATTTCAGCTGTGGAATTTGGCCAAACATCTCCTTCCTAAAACAAAAAAGAAGGATAGAGTAGTTTCAACTACAGATACACACGTTAAAAAAAACAAAACTGAAGGCATGGATTTACTATTAAACATACTGTAAATATAACTGCCTTATTAATAGCACTTCATGGTATAGGTTTCTACCAATAAATAACAAGGATAGCATGAATATTATATCCTGATGCTACTGCCTGGCTAAGCATACTAGAGAAATTTAGAAGACTGACCTTGTAAACCATAGAGAGGCAAAGTGGGTGAGGTAATACTTTTTATTGGACCAACTTCTATTGGTGAGAGACAAGCTTTCGAGCTTACACAAAGTTCATCTTCAGGTCTGGGAAACTTAATCAGAGTGTCACCGCTAAAGACAAGGTGGAACAGATTGTTTAGCGACAGAGGGTCCTGTGGCACCTTTGAGACTAACAGAAGTACTGGGAGCATAAGCTTTCGTGGGTAAGAACCTCACTTCTTCAGATGCTTTTTACAGATTGTTTAGCATAAGTAGTTAATACATGTTTCAAGGAACCATGCAAGGTGAAGTGGCCTGTTAACACCCCTCCCGTCATAAGGAGGAAAGGAAGTGTGGGGGGGAGCAGTTGGTGGGGATTGTTAGTGGGTTATAGATTGTTGCTATAGACATGAAGGCAGTGTCTCTATTCAGTCCATGATTTTTAGTGTCTAGCAAAGTTATGAATAAAAGAGCTCTGTGGAGCTTGAAAGCTTGTCTCTCTCACCAACACAACTTTGTCCAATAAAAGATATTAACTCTCTCACCTTGTCTCTAATATCCTGGGACCGAGACGGGTACAACAATACTGCATACTACCTGTAAACCATAGACAGCAGCTCATTTCATTATAGAGCCATTGGGCCCAATTTTGATCTCACCCTGATTCAACAACTTCCAAGGAGTTACTACAGATTTACACAAGTTTAACGAAATGTAAAATCTATACCGATGGCTCCAAACAAAACAAAACCCAGCCCAAGTTGTCTGAGGCTTTAATCTAGCAGGGGAGGTAAACTGAGGCACAAATGATAGTTTTCCCTGGCTTAGTTAATACAAGTCTGTAATAATTATTCAGTGCTCTTTGTTCTACTATTCCCCCAGTTAAATATAACTAATTCTAGCACTTCACATCCTGGCAGTCTATTCCCAGAGCAGGTGTATGGATACATGCAGTATGCAGCAAATTTTATTTGCCACACTATGAGGCTTAATGTACATCTGACCAGCTCTCTGACTTTGTACATTTCTCTTTAAAAGGACTAGGTCAGCGCTGTCTCAGTGGCTAAGCAGTAAGATCGGATTCTCCATCCTGGTTGTCGTGATCCTCAGAGCAGAAAGCTGCAGAGCCCACCGATTCAGTCCCTTAACGGCAAAGAACGCTTAGTTGGTGGCAAGCTGGAGTGTAAAACTCCCTCACACCAGCCTGTTGCGCACTCAGTGTCTGTGTGCATCCTGCTGATGTGCCCAAACAGTTCCCTCGTGCTTTGATCTATGCTGCTTCAAAATGGGGGTAGATCATTGCGCACAGGGACCTGTTCCTGCCCAGTAGCTCACATAGACACTCAGAGCACAACGAGCAGTACAGAGTAGATTTACACACCAGCTTGCTGCGGACCAAATGTTCATGTAAATTAGCCCTAATACTAACCCATCAGCTGAATAAAAGCAAAATCACTGATGTACTTGGACGAGAAAATCACCTTAACCCCTGGCCAGAAGGACAATGATCATGATGGAGGTATTAGAAAAGGATGGGGGTATAAAGCAGAGGAAAACAGGATGCCCGCAGGCTTGCAACTGGAACACGGATGTTGCCACTGGAAAGAGGAAAGCAAATGGCAACTGAGAAGTGAGAATGGTCCTATTTCAAAACTGTCACCCTGGGCAATCCATGGTATTCTCTTCGTTAGCGTTTGTAGGGCCTACCATACAAGACAGCAAACTGGTGATGGTGCGTTAGGGTACTGTCAGTGTGCGTCTATGTGTGCCAAGGAGTATGGAGAGTTATGTCAGGGCCTGGGGCTGTCAGGGTTCAGCAGACTTTGGGTTTCACATAGCCAGGCACGACACAGTTGCAGATGTCAAACAAGGTTTCCTCTAGATGGCTGGAAGGGTTAACTTGCAGCAAATACCTCTGGCTCACCGGGAGTCAGCACCATAACGACCCAGTGAGTCCAAAGCAAGCTAAATGTTGTTTGTGCTGTTCAGCCCAGGTGCAAAAGTCCTCTCAGGCCAGGGTCCAGGCAGTGTGCTTTCCTCCATGAACCCATGGCCTCTGCCATAGCCCAAACACTACTCCTTTGTGAGTCCCAGCTCTCAGCCTCACCTTTCAGTCATGGCAGCTTGCTTCAGGGCAGGTATTTTTCGGCCGTTTCAGGGGAAGGAAGGTGGGGATATGTTCAACCCAACACAGCAGGGTTTAAAAACATCAGAAAAGGAGCTGTGTCAAGGAAACTCAGTTCCTTAGAGCTACACAGCAGTAAATGCAAAAATCCCGATGGAATGCTTCCTAGAGCGCCTCAGAAACCTGATCAGTCCAGAACCCATTGTCCAGCTAGGCTCACTCTTACATTGATTCCAATGGGGTTAGTTACACTTCGGTGAAATCCAAATCAGGCTTGGAACTTTTAGGGCTCAATCCTGCTTCCATTCAAAGCAATGGAAAATCTCCTGTAACTACAATGGTGCAGGCTCAGGCTCTTGGACTGACTGCACAACAAAGTGCCTTTTTATTGTCGATTTCGTGTGGATTGCGAGCCAGTCGAGCCCTAAAACCCACTCTCCTCAAGCTGGCTTGCTCATTACTCAAAGGCTGACAGGTGTAATGGAAGCAAGTGCAATGAAACTCATAAGCAAAACCAAACGTATACAGAAGAGAGAGAGAATTAAAAAGTACCGGCGCCCTTGCTAACAACAGTGTGGTTTTCTAGCTGAGTGGGTTTGGCTGACTTTGGGATTTGATGAAATCCAAGGCCAGCATGTCTGTGACACAGTTATGACTGACACTGCACTCTTACCCCGCCATTTCCAAGCTCAGTAATGGGACTGATAGGGAGACAGACTCGACAGGACACAGGTTCGGGAGGCTGGGTCTAGAGCCAGGGATAGACGTGGTAAACAGGCCAGAGTCAGCAGACGCTCTCAGGCCACGCCAATTTAGTCTTGTTATTAGTGCCCCCCAAAACAAGTTGCAGTCTTTTCCCATTGTGAACAGGTCTGGATTTCAAGTGACTGGCCTGTGGATTGTGAGCTGTTATTTACCACCTACATTAACGCGATCAAGGTAAGGAGAGGTAAACTATGGTGCCATGTGAGATTCATTCTCTGGGTGCTTCAATCCTTAGCACAACTTGGATGCTAACACTGCTGGCTCTGAATAAAGACACTGCAGTTTGTTGAAAGACGGAACTAGGAAAAAGGGCTATATTAAAAAACAGCTGCTTCCATCAGAGTTTTTCAGAGCACTTCACAAACTCTAACAAATGTTGCTTCACAAGCCTTTTGTGAGGGAAACATGGGTTTCTTCCTGTTTTCCACTATGGGAAACAGACACAGAGCCCAAGACCAAACAGCATGTCAGTGTCAGAGCTGGGAATCTCTCTGTCTATTCTATGGTACTTCTCTGGCCCCATTACCAAAGTATCTGAGCACCTCACAATCTTTCCTGGATTTATCCTCACAACCCCCCTTTGCTGGGGCTCTTGAGGCACAGAAAAACTAAGGACCAGATTTGTAAAGATACATAGGCATCTACATCTAGGATGACCAGACAGCAAGTGTGAAAAATCGGGACGGGGGGTGGGGGTAATAGGAGCTTATATAAGAAAAAGACCCCAAAATCAGGACTGTCCCTGTAAAATCGGGATATCTGGTCACCCTGTCTACATCCCATTCAGGAAGTTAGACACCTAAATGTTATGAGCTGGGCTAAACCTTGATATGGGTTGAGGTTGATATGTTAATTGAAGGGTGAATTCACACCTACCTGTAAGCATAAGCCACCCCCAAAGACAACAGAGCTGTATGATCTCCCCCTGAGCATTGTTTTGGGTAGGGGTGTGTGGGGTGTGTGTGTGTGTGTGAAGAGAGATTACACAAAAACGGAGGACAAGAACACAAAGAGACAGAGAGGCGAAAAAGCAAATGTGAGCAGTGACCCTGGAGAAATCAAGAGAGAACGTTTGGGTCTCATATTTGCTAAAGGACTCGAGGGCTGTAAGCTAACAAACTGCTCCTTTTATTCAGTGGCTTCTGCGTTCAGAGGCACATAACCTTGTAAATAAGCAACACTGCATCAAATAGCGTACCAGACGCCATCAATTTATGCTCCCAGCTGGAATATTCCCAGGGCCCCAAACTTTGACTAGCAATTGGATCGAAAAAGGACAATTCCTTTAAAATATGATTGTGACTTCCCCAGGGTCACACAGGGAGTCAATGGAACCCAGGGGCCCTGACTTGTAGCCCCATTAAACCAGATTCTCTCCTTGCTCTAGAAACAGATGGGAAACCGTTACTCCAGAATTTGACATTCCTTAGCGTACTCCAGAATTTGACAGTACTGCAGTCAGCAATTTTGTATGTTAAGCCACTGCCAGCTGAAAACCACACATCATGTAGCTAGGAAAATCTTAGGCCTAAGAGGCAAGGCCAAATAACTGCATGTTTGCAGCTTTGTTATCAGAATGGGAGGTTGGGAGAAGAAGTGAAAGTTCCATGAAAATACTGTAGAAGGATTGCTTGGACAATGACCTTGGTTTTAGGTGCCTCTAATATGTAAGTTTTATTTTTGTTATGATTAGAAATGCTTTGCTGATAAGGAGACGAATTATTATTGGCAGTTGCTAGGGAAATTGTTAGCCTATTAGAGGCTATTATGAGTCATGTGCTTTGTTTGGAGAAAAATTATAAAACGTTTAGTTAGAAAGTGCTTTGAAGTAGTCCAAGGAAGCTTTCCTCTGGGCAAGGATCTGACACCTATGTTCCCCAGCA